GACATGACCTCCGGGGGCCCAGCGCCGCTCACCTTCGGAGAGCTCCAGCTCCAGCTCCGCCAGCTGCTCGCGGACCTCTCGGGGCAGCCCGGCCGGAGGAGAGACGGCCCCGTTACCGCCCGGCGGCTCAGCCATGATGGAGAAAGAGAAGTGCCCGGTGGTTCCGGCGGCGGCAGCTCGTCTTCCTTCTCTTTCTCCTCCTCCTCCTCCACCACCTCTTCTTCCTCAGAGCCGGAGGCTGCGGATCCTGCCGTGCAAAGCAGCAGCAGCAGCAGCAGAAACGGCGGCCACCGCCATCGCCATAATCCGTCCCTCGCCTTCCGCTCCGCTGTGCAGGCAGCCGCCTTTCCTCCTCTTCGGCCGCCGCCGCCGCGTTGAGCGACTCCGACGAGGTCACATGAGAAAGGCGGGCGGGCCTAACCTTGGCTCTCTCGCACTACCATCATCGCCGCCGCCGTGTGAACCAAGCAAGCGCCGCCTTGGGCAGGGCCGGGCCCGCCGTTTAGAGGCGCTTGTCCTGTGGGGGACGGGGGCCCTCCAGCGACCGCCCCGGATAAAGGCATCGGCCGAGCCAGGCAGGGAGGAGAGGGAGCCGAACGCCGCTTGCCGCTTGCCCGCCTCCGTACTGCGAGATATTTGTATACAGTCTGTATTTTGTTCACATCTTTACAGCTCTTGGCGTTGTCAACCGTCCAATAATCCCCTGCTCCGCTAGATGCCGGATTGCATCATTTCCTATCATCCCCGCGTGGGGTTGAAGGGATCAGGAGTAGCAAGACCCATTAGAACAGGATGAAAAAGTGGCCCTCCAACTGCTTTTTAGAGAGCCAATCCCACCTGAATAAGGAAAGTGCTTACTTTTCTTACTGTACAAGTTGAAGGCCAGGTTGGAAGATAATGGGCCTTGTAGTCTAACATTTGAAAGGATGCCCCCACACACAATCTGGTTGCAGGATTCCTAGCTTGTTCTAGCTTTAGGTAAAGGTAAAGGTTCCCATTGACAATTTTTGTCCAGTCGTGTTCGACTCTAGGGGGCGGTGCTCATCCCCGTTTCCAAGCCATAGAGCCAGCGTTTTGTCCGAAGACAATCTTCCGTGGTCACATGGCCAGTGCGACTTAGACATGGAACGCTGTTACCTTCCCACCGAAGTGGTCCCTATTTATCTACTTGCATTTGCATGCTTTTGAACCGCTAGGCTGGTGAGGAGCTGGGACAAAGTGACGGAAGCTCACTCTGTTGCATGGATTCGATCTTACGACTGCTGGTCTTCTGACCCTGCAGCACAGGCTTCTGCGGTTTAGCCCGCAGCGCCACCACATCCCTTACATTATTCACCCATATTACAACTTGAAAAGGGAGGCTTTTGTTATACCCTCTCACAAATCACCAAGGGACCAGAGATCCAGACCAGAGATCCAAACCAGGGCCTGTGCTCTGCCAGCTGCTGTTGTAATCCATATAAAGTGATGTCTGATTTTCAGAAAAAGGAAATGCTGTAAACACACATTCCACATGCTGTACATGATAGAAACCTACATGAGAAGACTGCATGAATACCTACAGTATTCTGAAGTGGTCAGACTACCATCTTTTAAAAGCATTTAAACATAGCTAATACAGAAGTTTTATGAATCCTGTAAATCCCCCTTCATGGATTGCTGCCTTATTGTGGCGAAGGGGCTTGAGTAACTCAGAGAAGCTATGGCCTATGCCATGCAGGGACACCCAAGACGGACAGGTCATAATGGAGAGTTCTGACGAAATGCAATCCACTTGGAGGAGGAACTGGCAAGCCACTCTAGTATCTTTAGCAAGAAAACTCCATGGACAGAAAAAAAAGGCACTGGAAGATGAGCCCCTCGGGTCAGAAGGCTACTGAGGAAGAGCAGAGAACAAGAACAAGTAGCTCCAGAGCTAATGAAGTGGTTGGGCCAAAGCCGAAAGGACGCTCAGCTGTGGACGTGCCTGGAAGTCAAGGGAAAGTCCAATGCTGCAAAGAAAAATCCTGCATAGGAACCTGGAATGTAACATCTATGAACCTTGGTAAGCTGGAGGTGGTCAAACAGGAGATGGCAAGAATAAACATTGACATCCTGGGCGTCA